CCCCGGGGCCGGTGGGCGGCAGGAGGCCCCCTCGGGCAGCGGGGGGCGCCACTGCCGGCTCACGGCAGCCCAGCGTGGAGACTCTGGACAGGTAAGCGGAACCGGGGCGTTCACGGCCTCCTGCGTCCTGACGCCGAGGGCCCCGCGCGAGGCCCGGCCGCCCCTTCCCAGCGCTGCGAGCGGGGCTGGGCGGGCAGGGGCGGGGCGGAGGCGGGAGCTGGGCTGAGCGACCCCTCTCCTGCCCCCTCTTCACCCTCCGGAGGACTCCCACCCTCCCATCCCCATCCCAAGGCTGTCGCCTTCGGATCCGCCCGAGCCGCGCACCTGGCTCACTTCCGCCTCGGGGGCCGAGCTCGCCGACCTCCCGGTGGGGCTTCGGAGCCGGCAGATCACTTCCCGCACCACCTCCTATGCTGCTTGAGGACCTCTGTGGCTGCCCTCGCCCTGACCATGAATTTTTTGAGGGCAAGTTTCAGTCGGGTTGTGGTGCTCCTAGGTCCCCCTGTCGCGTGCGGTTTAAAAACCCAAATTCCGCTGCTACTGCTTAGAGTCTTCGGATGCTTCAGTCGAGAGTGGGGACTCGGGTCGGGACCCTGATTTAAAAAGCTGGCATGGCAAACTTCCAAACTGCTTGGGAGACCAGAGCACAGAATCGTTTACTTTCAGTTCTTCCTACTTCGAAAGAACCGGATTGTTGCTTCCATGAACAGAGAGGCTTAAGGCTTCTGTGAAACGAGAGAAATAGGAAGGAAAATCCGGCCCTGTCCACTGGGAAGGGTCACCCATCCTCAGAGACAAGGCGTGGTTCAGCCCGTAACCTGCTCCATCCAGCTTTCCCATGTCTTGGCACCTTCCCTGGCAGGAGAGCACACTTAGACCACAGACACTGTTGGAATGTAGCCGTACGGGCAGTTGCAGATGTTCGTTCCTGCCTGGCTTACTCATACGGGTGTGCGCAATATTTGGGAGTTTCCAAAAGCACAAGACCAACAAGAAACACTCTCTCATCTTGTCCCTACCCCAGTGTCATTACCATGCATTTTACCAGATTAATCACTCAAGTGATCAGCTTCACTGAAAATAATCACAGCTAAGACAACACGTTGGACTGTCTGCACATCTGCGGTAGTGTATGAGCGTTTGGTCACTCAGAATTCAAGATGGTTTTGTTCTTTGGCTTAGCAGCTGTTTGAGAATACAAGCCAACTAGCAGTTGAAATCGTGTGAAGCGCTAGGCTCGAGGTGAACACAGAAGTTCACAAGATGAGGGGATACATGGGAAGCTTTGAAGGAGCTGCGGGCAATTAGAATACGGCACCTCCAAATACGCCTCGTGTTCTGGTTTCCTTCAGCGATGTTAAGGATTGCAGGTGTCCAGGCGCCGGTCTGAAGGCTTCTGACTTGGGGAGTTCAGGGTATTTTTCAGAAGTTCCACAGCGTCGATAGTGATCCACTGCCCTGTGGGTACCCAGGGGTAGGGTGCTTGCTTTATCTGGTGGTGGCGGGAGGCTGCATAGTACAGGCAGTAAGTGAGGTTCTTCTGGGGAAACTGACATTTGAACTGAATGGTGAAGGATAAATAGAAATTAGCCAGGGGATGAGGTGAAGGGGAGCTTTTGGGCCACTTGCAGTGGGGCATTTGGTCATGCAGCAAAGACATACTGTTAGGAACTGGCAGGAGAGAAGGCCTGTTACCTGGGGAAAGAGCCTGCCTAAGGCATTGTGGCCTTCTGCAGTTAACAGGTGATGCTTCTTAGAGTGTGATCCTGCATCATCTGCATTGGAGTGCAAATGTGGATTCTTGGGCCTTACCTTACAACTAGTCCAGATACTAGGAGAAGAGCTGGAATTCTGCAGTTTTAATAAGCACTTTAGCCATGAGTGAGGTGGGCCCTTGGCCTGTTTTGGCGAGGATGTTCCTGGTTTACCTGTTGGAACAGTGTAACTAAAACATTTAAAAAATGTATTTGAGATGGGAGGCCTACGCCGTGGCACAGTGGGTTAAGCCACCGCCTGCCATACCAGCGTCCCATATGGGTGCTGGTTCAAGTGCCCGCTGTTCCACTCCACATACAGCTCCCTGCTAATGCATGTCAGAAAGCTGTGGAAGGTGGCTCAAGTACATGAACCCCCTGCCACCCATGTGTAAGACCCAGGCAGAGTTCCAGACTCCTGGATTTGGCCTGTCCCAGACCCAGCCATTGCAGCCATTTGGGAAGTGAACCACCACGTGGAAGATCTCAGTATCTCTCTTCTCTCTCCCTCCCTCTTTCTCTGTAACTCTGCCTTTCAATTAAATAAATCTTTAAACAAATTATTTAAGAAAGAGATAGGTAGTTAGCCAGAGAGTTTTCCCATCCGCTGGTTTACTTCCCAAATACCTGCAACAGCCGATGCTGGGCCGGGGTGGAGCCAGGAGCTGAGAATGCAATCTAGGTCTCCCATGGTGGCAGGAAGCGAATTACGTGAGCCTTCCTTGCTGCTTCTCAGGGTCTTCATTGGCAGCAAGCTGTAATCACCTTGGAGCGAGGCAGCAAACCCAGGTGATGCCAGTGTGGAACACAGGCATCTTAACTGTTGGGCTAAATGCTCACTCCTGGTCAGTGTAATTGTTAACAACCTCTTCCTTCAACACTCAGTTGTGCCTTGGTTTGGATGAGAAATTACACGGTCGTTTTATCTGTGGGGACTACAGAAGGCTTTCAGCCAGGGAAACTGTGGGATCTCATATGACTTCCAGAATGATTGCTCTGCATAGTGTGGCAGATGGACTGAAGGTGGAGAGTCTAGTTGGTAGGTTTTGAAAGTGCTTGATCATGCAGTTATTCTGCAAATATGAGTGCCTACTCTGTGTCAGGCATTGTATTGGGCCTGAGGATACAGCAGGGAATAAACACAAATCCCTGCCCTTAGGAAGTATATGTTTGGTGAGAGAAAGCCAAAAAAAGGTAAAATAGGTTTCCTGTTAGATGATGGTAAGTGTTAAGGAAAAAGATTCTAAGTTGAGAGGGGGACAAGAAGTGTCGGGGATATGTACTTTGGTTGGAATTTCGACTAGGATGATCGGGAAAAGGCTGAGAAAGGTGATATTTGAGCAGTGCCCCCAAAGAAGTGAAGGGTCCAGCCATCAACATGGTTTGGGTGGTAGCATCCTATGCAAAGGCTTTGGAGTGGGAAAGTGTACAAAACTGCAAGTATCAGCAAGGATTCTAGGTGCCACAAGCAAGTGGGGAATTATGGAGAAAGGATAAGGTCACGGGGCAGCTGGTGGAGCGCCTTGGTTGCCATGGTAAACCATTCGGGACTTTGGTTCAGAGGGGTGACATAATCTGGTATATATTTCAGTGGGGTCTCTGGGTGCTGTGTGGACATTAGACTTAAAGGTAAGGAGTTGGAGCAAATTGACTGTCCAGTAGGAGACCATTGTAGTAGGCCAGGTGAGAGGATGGTGGCCTAGCCCAGAGTGATGGAATGGAGGAGGGGAGAAGTAGTCAGATTCTAGATAGAATCCAAAGCAGATCTGAAGGGTGCAGCCAGTAGTGTTCGCTGAAACTTGGTCATTGGATATGAGTGGAGAATCAAAGAGGATATCAAGTTGTATAGCTTGTGGAAAAATTGTGTTCCTTAGGCTGAGAACCATCTGGAGCAGGGTTAGGAGATAGGCTCTCAGCTCTGGACATATGAATTATGAGATGCCAATTAAATGTGTTGTCTGGAGAGGCACTTGGTGCGGATGTGCATGGACTTTGGGGTGACATCTGGGCTAGAGACCTGAACTGGAGAGTTATTTGCATGTAGACAGGACTTAAATTCATGAGATGGGCGGAGAGCCCAGAAGAACGTTAAGAGTGGATTTTCAAGATGCTTGGCTGGTAAGAGTGACACAGCCTGGGGAGCATTTAGCTGTGAGGCTGAAGCACTGGGGAATAAGAGGGTGAACCCTGGATTTCTGGCTGAGGGGTCGGAGTAACTGGCTGCGCCTTGTGCTGAGTTAAGAAACACAGGAGGCAGTATATTTGGGGGCTGAACGGCCCCTGCCAGTTTAGACAGGGTGACTTGGCAGGGACTGGGGACCAGACTAGTAGAGAGTCTTGTCTGTAGGAGTGCCAGCCTTGAGATCAGAAAGGGTCCTGTTGGAGAAACAGAGCTGGGAGCCTCCAGCCTACAACTGCTGTTTGATGCCAGTGTGTGGAGTGTGTCTGCAGGGACTAAAAAGGAGAGAGAGCGGAAGAGGAGACCTGGCCTCCCTTCTCAGTTCTGTGCTCTGGACAAGTTCTGTTCACAGTTGTCTTTGAAGAAAGGCCCCTCAAGTGGAACCTGGCTCTACAGGCCTAGCTGTGGGCCCTCAGTTCTCTTCTGAATGTTGTGCTTCTCTTAATGATGATGGAGCTACAGTCCCTGAGAGCATGTGGCTTGCTCAAGGTCATGGAGGTAGCAGGTGACAGCAGTAGGACTGGAGTCCAGGCCTCCTGCCTGCGAGCCCACTATATCCCATTGTTTGTAATTGCATTGGCCAGGACACTTCTAGTTGCAGGTGACAAAAACCACAACTCAATCTAGCTTAAGCCAAAATGAGTTAACTTGGCTTACATAATTGCTCCAGACGAGGAGTGGCAGTCATGAGTATAATGAGATCCAGAGTTGTGAATAGTGTTGTAGAGACTCCTCATAACTTGGTTTTCTTGTTGGGCTTTCTAGCTCAGAGATTTCCTCATGGTGGATGGGGAGATAGGGTTTGGAGTGGTGTGGTGGGGCGTGGCCTTCAGCAGTTCTGGGGCAGATCCATACAGCCCCTGGTCCAAGAGGAGCCTGGGATTGCCCAGGCCTGGGTGACTCACCTTTAAGTAGGGGAGGGAGAAGGAAGGTAGCCAGCCCTCTTCTGTCTACTTGTCCACTGAATTATATGAAGTTGGGTTGGGCAGTTCCTCAAAGTAAAAAGAAGTGTCCCTATCAGAAGGGGGAAGGTAATGCAGGTCACTCATGGTCACCAGTTGGGTTTCTAAAGATTTTCTTCCTGTATTTACAGTTAGAATGAGTACAGACACACACACACAAAATTATGACAAGAAAGGTAGGATACGGTTAGAAATGTGATCAATGGATTTCTGGCATCATAGGAGCTTCTGCCCCCGCCCCCTTTTGAAGGTAGGAAGGAAATTTATTTATTTAAAAAAATTGTAAAGATTTACTTTATTTGAAACGCAGAGATACTCATATTCATATTTTTCTTTCTTTCTCTCTGTCTCTCTCTCTCTCTCTCAGAGAGAGAGAGAGAGACAGAGAGAGAGAGGTCGAGAGATATTTCATCTGCTGATTCACTCCCCAAATGGCTGCAACAGCCAGGGCTGGACCAGACCAAAGTCTCCCATATGTGTGCAGGGGCCCAAGCACTTGGACCATCCTCCACTGCTTTCTCAGGCACAATAGCAGGGAGGTGGATCAGGAGTGGAGCAGCTAGGACTGGAACCGGTGTCCTTATGGGATGGTGGCACTGCAGGCAGTGGCTTAACTTGCTAAGTCAAAATGCTAGGACATAGGAAAGAATTTTAAAAGTTAGAATGAACAGGACAAGTAGAAAGTAAATGACTTACTGTTGTTACTGGAAGGATGAAGGCCATTTCGGTCTGTGTTTCACATAGAAGAATTTCCACATGGACAGGACAGTGAGCAAAGCAAGATTTATTTAAGTCAGAAACCTCCTGTTGCTATAGTCAGGAGGGGCTCCAAGGGAGGAATGTCCTCTGCCCACTCTGCCAGTGTTTTCACTCAGACTTTCAGATACACAGATAACCACTGGAGTGTCTTCATCAGAGACTGCAATGTAGATGGATAGTACAGACCATCAGTTTCTTTATTTTACTGTAGGTTATTTGACATGTTGTCTGGGAAGTCTGGGTGTTTGTAGCCTTCAGATACGTGAGTGTTGCTTTAGTTAGTCATCTGAGATTTTAAGGATCTGAAACATTCTTTACAGCGAAAGCTACTTGCAAGGTAAACTTTTTTTTATTTTATTTTATTTAATGAACATAAATTTCCAAAGTACAGCTTATGGATTACAATAGCTTCCCCCCGCATAACTTCCCTCCCACCCACAACACTCCCCTCTCCCACTCCCTCTCCCCTTCCATTCACATCAAGATTAATTTTCAATTATATTTATATTCAGAAGATCAATTTAGCATATATTAAGTAAAGATTTCAACAGTTTGCACCCACACAGAAACACAAAGTGTAAAATACTATTTGAGTACTAGTTATAGCATTAATTAAACACCTAAGAGTAATTGTGTATTAATTACAGGGTTCAACCAATAGTTTTAAGTAGAACATAAAAAATACTAAAAGGGTAAAGTATTAAGTTCTTTTTTTCCCTTTTTCTTTTTTTTGTTTGTTATATAGTTTTTTTATTTAATAAATGTGAATTTACAAAGTGCAACTTTTGTATTGTTGTGGCTTCCCCCCCAACCTCCCTCCCTCCGTGGCCCTCCCCTCTCCCACTCCCTCTCCCACTCCCTCTCCCATCTGCCCTTCATCGAGTTTCATTTTCAATTAGCAAGGTAAACTTTCATAAACATCTTTTGTCCTCTTGCTTGACTTCTTAAGTGTTTTGACAAATCATGAGACAGCCTGGCTTTTGAGGGGGGGGATTTTAATTCTCTGTCTAGTTTGTTTATAAGGTGATCACAGTCCAGCCACTTAACAGTTATATGACCTCGGACAAAACTGGAGCCTCAGTTTTCTCATCTGTAAAATGGGTCACTGTGAGGCTAGTAAGGCTACTTGTGTAGAAATGCTTGGAATACATTAGAGCACTGCTAAGGGGAAGATGCTGTCATCTTTGCATTGTCATGTTTTTGTATAAAGCGGTGGCTGGCATCTGCAGTGCTGGCTTCAGCTCAGTGGGTTGGTCACCATTAGTTGTGCCATGTCCTGGATGGACAACCGCTTTCTAACAGTCCATGTCACCTCTACACCTCTGATCTGAAAAGCAAGGTAACTGGCCCGTCCCTTTTCAACCTCCTTGTCATACCATATTTGTGAGGCTCTGATTACAAGCAGAAGAACCTTTGATAAATTGCCAAAGCCCCTGCAGAAATGTAAAGTAGCATCGTTAATACACACAGAACAGCATTTTTCTAGTCCGCCTTAGAAAATCACGTCTTTTCTCCATTAAGAGCCACTTTGGTTCGCTTACAAGTACATTGTTCTCCATACTTAGAGTTGCCATCGTGAAACTGATTGTAAAGCATATGTAGTATAGTACGTATTTCACTTTAGAATTAATTTTCTGTATACATTATAAGTATATCTTCCTTATAATTGTAATGAAATAAAGATTAAATGATATCTATTGAATGATAGAGAAGAGCATGCTATACTATGTTACACCTAGAATCTTAAAATTCTTTTGAAGAAAAATTGGTTTGACTCACTTAAAATTAACATGGAAGCTGGTGGTGCAGTGGTTAAGCCACTATATGGTACACCTGTGTCCCATATCGGAGAGCCTGGTTCCAGTTCTGGCAACTCCATTTCCAATCCAGTTTCCTGTTAATGAGCATCCTGGGAGGAAGCAGGTGATAGATCAAGTAACTGGATCCCTGCCTCCCACATAGGAGATAAGGATTGAGTTCCCTGCTCCTTCCTTTGGCCTGGCCCAGCCTCAGCCGTTGCAGGCATTTGAGGAATGAACCAGCAGAAGACAGATACTCATATTCATATTTTTCTTTCTCTCTCTCTCTCAACTACATAAAATTTTTACAAAGAAAATTCATCTGATGGGGCCAGCACTGTGACGTAGTGGGTAAACCTGCCACCTGCAGCACTGGCATCCCATATGGGCATCGGTTCAAGTCCCAGCTGCTCCACTTCCAATCCAGCTCTCTGCTATGGCCTGGGAAAGCAGTAGAAGATAGCCCAAATACTTGGGCCCCTGCACCTGTGTGCGCGACCTGAAATAAGCTTCTGGCTTCTGGTTTCGGATTGTCCCAGCTCCAACTCTTGCAGCCATTTGGGGAGTGAACCAGTGGACAGACAACCTCTCTCTCCCTGCCTCTCTTCTCTCTCTGTGTAACTCTGACTTTCAAATACATAAATCTTTAAAAAAAATTCACCTGGAATCTAACCTTACTTCCTGGTTGTCAGGTGGTATATCAGTTCTTTTATTAAATGTAAAGGTAACCAAATAGTTCAGTGTTTCATCTGAAAAAAAGAAGTGTGCATGTATCCCTATTCAGTGCTCGTTTTTGTCACTAAGAGTCTGTGTTTTAAAACTTTTTAATCATGCTGTTTCTTTTAGTCCTACAGGATCACATGTTGAATGGTGTAAACAGCTTATAGCTGCTACAATTTCTAGTCAGATTTCAGGTTCAGTGACATCAGAAAATGTATCCAGAGATTACAAGGTAAGCAACTTTAAGTGTTTAATTCATTTTCAGTATTCTGAGTAGCCAAGAAGCTTTACAGTTTTAATTCAAAAAAGCCTTTGGCCTCTTGATGCTCAACTTCATTTGCTTAGGAATAAAGATGAAAGGCTGTCTGCTATTAAAGCTGCAATTTAGAGGAGGAATTTTACTCATATATAGTCTATGTGGTCAAAGTTTTATAACTGAGAGGAAAAGCTGTCTTCAGATTATGGTCATTCTTTGAAAAATTAGGTTCCATGTTATAATAAATGCTTTAAATCTTCTTCATTACTATTCTGAATTTCAAAAAAAGTTTTGCTGCACACTATTTCCCATGCTTATAATTCTGTTTTGTATGTAGGAATTACCTGTGCGTATTTAGTGTTAACATATGATACTACAATGCAAAATACCCTTGCAAAGTCTTTAAAGAGTACTATATGGACAGACTCACTTTAGTGCTTACCGAAGTAAAAAATGTCTTTTTTTTTTTTTAAGTGGGATTACATGCTGGTTCTGAAGTCTGATAAGCTTGCCAACAGATTCTGGTTTTTCAGCATTCTGGAGCATATAGGTGCTCAGTAAATGCTTATTGACTCAGTTAACAAACCAAACCATCTTTGTTAAGGCCAAAGCTTAATTTTGTTTTAATGGTGATAAGCTGCTAACAGGTGCAGTACAATGAAACCACCTTTACATTTCAATAGTGTTCAGTTGAATTGAGGTTTTAGTTTACTATAGTCATTTCTGCCTGCTAGTAAGAGATGATTGGTTTTTTACAAGTGTGTGCTAAATGTGTTTGGAATCCCAGACCACCATCAGCTAGCAGTCTCTCAGAATCCTAATAATTCTTAATAACTGCTCCTTGTTTAGGGCCTTTAGCCTGAGTCCCTTTTTAGTTCATAACAAGTGCAGAAATCAACTCAAGAGGCCATGTGTTTGAGATTTGACTGTATTGCTGCCTCCTGCTTCATGTGAGCCAGCAGGTGCTAGTGATTCTGCCTACCAGAGGACGGCATAGCTGTGGATTAGTAGAAATTGGATAAGCTGCCCAGCTAGAAGAGTGACAGTATGAGAACATTCCTTAATGGTTTTCCCCCTCTAGCTGATTTTCATGTTTGCTCACAAAGGAGCAGTTGGGACTTGTGGTCCGCAAAGCCTGGCTCGGCAGACATACTGCCTTTGAGCAGCTGCAAATCCCACTGGTCTCAGTTGCCTTATGGCCCCCACTTTGGCTGGGAAACTGCCTGTTGAAGAAGAGGCTTAAGGACCCATATTAGCAGAGAATAGCTATCAGGCCTTGGGGTGATTTTCTTTATGGCCAATTATGATTAAAAGGTTTTTATTATGGTTAGTTGTTTGCATCGTGTTAATTCTGTAACAGGTTGAATGTTGACTCTATAATAGTTTTCTAACCTTTACTAATAGATCAGCCTGAATCCATACTTGAACACAAAGCAACTAAGTTTTTAAAATTTTAGTTTATTACCAAATTTTGTGTAGCACAATGAGCTCACATTGGAATGGTTTAACAGATGGTATTCAGAAAAAATAAGGCTTTTGTATGTTTAGGAAATTGGATTTTAAGTCCCTACATCAGATCACAGGTAAAACCTTTGATGAATTATTACAACAGAGCATGAGCATGTTTTCTGATACCCTGTTTGCCCTCTGGCCAAATCTGCAAAGTTAGTGTTAAATTTGTAATTTAGAAGTTCTTATGCTTTCTTCAAGGGAAGAGTTTTCTAATAACAAAAGCCTGAAAGATTTCTAAATCACAAGGATAATTGTGTGTGCTACTTGCAAAGTAGTTCTTAAAATCAGGGCAACCAAGCAGGGCCTTTGAGATCCCTCTGCCCTCTGGCCTGGGAGCCATACCATGGGGTTGAATGTAGGTCCAGATAGAATTCCTTGAGGATTTAAGTTGCAATCATCGGCAGATAATATTTGAAATGATCCATTGCATAAATATCTTATTGAAACACACAGTTGATTTGGAAGTTAATTTGTTGCAGGTTAAACTCAAGTCAGTAATTAAACAAGAGCAGATGTTTGTATGGCGTAGATAACTTACATCGTATTTGAAATGCTGATTGTCTTTGAGTTGTAGGCTGCTGAGAGTGGTTGCACAATTTTCTTCATCATCATCAGCCCTCTGATGTGTAGGCTCTATGATTTTATAATGACTTTTGACATGTCCATTGATACAATCCAGTAAAGTCGCTATTATTATAATCATTATTTAACATATGAGGAAACTGAGGCATGGAACATTTAAGTGCCTTGTTTGTGATCATAGAGTTAGAATTGTGATTTGAACCCAAGTTGTCCTATTCAATAGAGTGATTTTTTTTTTCGGCCAGGCAGAGTTAGACAGTGAGAGAGAGACAGAGAGAAAGGTCTTCCTTCCGTTGGTTCACTCCCCCAGTGGCTGCCATGGCCGGCGCTGCGCCGATCTGAAGCCAGGAGCCGGGTACTTCCTCTTGGTCTCCTATGTGGGTGCAGGGACCTGAGCACTTGGGCCATCCTCCACTGCCCTCCCAGGCCACAGCAGAGAGCTGGACTGGAAAAGGAGCAACTGGGACTAGAACCCAGGGTGCCGGCACCGCAGACGGAGGATCAGCCAAGTGAGCCACAGCGCCAGCCCTCAGTAGAGTGATTTTAAAATTTTGCTCACCACTCTGAGGTCTGCAGGTTTTCTTTTCTTCTTCTTTTTTTTTTTTTTTGAGATTTATTTATTTTATTTGAAAGGCAAAATTAGAGAGACATGGGGGTGGGGTGGGGAATGAATCTTCCATCTGCTGGTTCACTCACCAAATGGCTGCAGTGGCTGGAGCTGGACTGGTCTGAAGCCAGGAGCCAGGAGCTTCTTCTGGGTTTCCCACATGGATGCAGGGGCCCAAACACTTGGGCCATCTTCCACTGCTTTCCCAAACTCATTAACATGGAGCTAGATCAGAAGTGGAGTACATGGGATTCAAACCAGCACCCATATGGCATGCAGGCACTGCAGGCGGTGGCTTAACCTGCTATGCAATAGCACTGGCCCCACCGGTTTTCAAAAATGTGACCCTTGGGGTGCCTAAATGCAGATTCCTAGGCCATATCCCAGATTTACTGAATCAGAATCTCTGAGAGAAGGAACCCAGGGCCTCATGTATTTCTGATGCACAATAAAATCTCAAAACCTTGACTTCCTAGCTTTGTATTTGCTGAAATTGGTGAGAGGACCATGTATTTCTGGAACATTCCTAGCAAATTGAAATGATTAACAACTCATGTTAGATTTTGGAGAACAATTCTTTTATTTTCTTATATCATAAGTTGTCAGTCATCCCAGGATCAAATCACCCAGGGTATAGTAAGAATATCACTGGCATCATGTAAGATGAATTTAGATAGTATATTCATGGACATATTTTAATAGTTATATAATTATTTTATTGTATATTAGGAAAGCCAGCACATAAAGCTGATGATTTAACAGATGTTATTGCATAGAGAAGACAGATTATAAAAGGGGATGAATTTTTTTAAATTTTTTATTTAGTAAATATAAATTTCCAAAGTACAGTTTATGGATTACAATGGCTCCCCCCCCCATAATTTCCCTCTCACTCGCACCCCTCCCATCTCCCGTTCCCTCTCCCATTCCATTCACATCAAGATTCATTTTCAATTATCTTTATATACAGAAGATTGATTTAGTATATATTAAGTAAGAATTTCATCAGTTTGCACCCACACAGAAACACAAAGTGTAAAATACTGTTTCAGTACTAGTTATAGCATTACTTCACATTGGACAACACACTAAGGACAGATCCCACATGAGAAGTAAGTACACAGTGACTCCTGTTGTTGACTTAACAATTTGACACTCTTGTTTATGGCGTCAGAAATCTCCCTAGGCTCTAGTCATGAGCTGCCAAGGCTATGGAAGCTTTTTGAGTTCGCTGACTTCGATCTTATTCCGACAGGGTCATAGTCAAAGTGCAAGTTCTGTCCTCCCTTCAGAGAAAGGTACCTCCTCCTTTGATGGCCCCGTTCTTTCCACTGGGTTCTCACTCGCAGAGATCTTTCATTTAGGTCTTTTTTTTTTTTTTCCAGAGTGTCTTGGCTTTCCATGCCTAAAATACTCTCATGGGCTCTTCAGCCATATCCGAATGCCTTAAGGGCTGATTCTGAGGCCAGAGTGCTATTTAGGACATCTGCCATTCTATGAGTCTGCTGTGTATCCCGCTTCCCATGCTGGATCGTTCTCTCCCTTTTTGATTAAGGGGATGAATTTTACATCAATATGAAGATAAATATTAGTACAGATGGTATGCAGATAGAGCAAGGCAAACTTGCGGAGGTGGAATGTGGCATGACAGAAGTTTGGCAAACATTGTACTGACTGAAAGAGTAGGAAGCTATTATGTTGAATTATGAGTCAACTGAATTAATAAATGCATGCTTTAATACCAATTCATCCTGAAGATGAGCCTGATAATTAAGACTACTAGAACTGTAATAACATTTTTTGTTTTGCTTGCCCACCCCTCCCCACTATCAGTTTCTTTCATTTTTACTATGCTGACAACAAATGGTTAAAAAAAAAACAAACTTGAATTTGTCAAAAATTTTAAAACAAGATGTGAATGTAATCTTCCATAGTTTAGGTGAAATAGTACAGTTACAGATTGTATTGAAAAGTTTTTAGAATCTGTTAGTAGAAGTGACACACTTGATCACAGCTCCTATTGTTTGGAAAGTTTGCTTGGAAAGTAAACTAGAAAGAGGGAACATGATGAAGTGGTACAAATAGCACTGGTTAACTTTTGACCTATAATATCTGAGGTCCAGTTTCCTTATCTATAAGGGTAAAAGGGTTTGAATTAGATTATAAACCTCTACTTGTCCTTCTTTTTAGAACATTCTTCAATTATGTTTTCTCCCAAATGATTTGATTCTGGCTAGCCTTATGAAAATTAGGACACTTGGTGCCAGCTGCCTGC